TCACTTTTTATCATCTACAAAATGTTCAATGAATTGCCATATGACTGATAAGATTTATTATTTGTTTATAGAAAATATTAGTTTCAAATAAATTTTAATTTTTTTGCTTATATCAGAATCCCAAAACTATTTTGAGATTGAGGTGCAGTTAATTAATTAATTATTTAAAATTTCCTGCAGTCATGGCAGCAGAAGGTTCTCAGTTTGATGCTCGTCAATTCGATGCGAAAATGACAGAGCTGTAAGTTATCTCTTTCCATCATATATTGTGGTCATGTTAATCTGGCTGGAAAGCATCCTTGTCTCTCTCTCCCTCTCTCTTTTTCCAATTTATTGATTATCACTTTCTGCTGATATTTGACGTCTAGCCTTAGCCATTGATTTGATTGACTTTTGTGCTTGTTTGATATGCCAAAAACAGGCTTGGTACTGAACAACAGGAATTCTTCACATCATATGATGAGGTTCACGACAGTTTTGATGCCATGGGTTTGCAAGAAAATCTCCTGAGGGGAATCTATGCGTATGGTAAATTGACATCTCCTCCTAATTCTTGTTCCTTTCCTCCATTCCCAGATTTTACAGAGCACTGAACAGTGTTTTGAATTCCTTTAAGGTTTTGAGAAGCCATCTGCTATTCAGCAAAGGGGCATTGTTCCTTTTTGCAAGGGCCTTGATGTTATCCAGCAGGCACAATCTGGTACTGGAAAGACGGCAACTTTCTGCTCTGGAATTCTCCAGCAGCTTGATTACAGTTTAGTTGAGTGTCAGGCTCTGGTTCTTGCACCAACCCGCGAGCTTGCACAACAGATTGAGAAGGTTATGAGAGCACTTGGTGACTACCTGGGTGTGAAGGTTCATGCTTGTGTTGGGGGTACGAGTGTACGTGAGGATCAGCGCATCCTTCAGAGCGGTGTTCATGTTGTGGTTGGTACTCCAGGCCGTGTCTTTGACATGTTGCGCAGGCAGTCTCTTCGCCCCGACCACATCAAGATGTTTGTTTTGGATGAAGCTGACGAGATGCTCTCTAGAGGTTTCAAGGATCAGGTTGCCCTTTTACTTAAATTTTTGCAGTTTTATTTCTTAGTTCAGAGCAGGATTTGCCTCCATTTTCTGTTACTAAATGATGTTTCTGTGTTCGAAGGTTGATTAACAATCTAGAAGTAGAGATTTTTACATCGTTTTATCAACAAAATAAAAGAATTAACCTTTTCTTTTTTTGACCAAGTGAAGCAGAATTCAATTTTAAATGTGTTTATGTAGTTGATAGTAAACTAATAAAGCTAGGGCTAATTTGTTAATAATATATTTCTCCCTCAAATTATCAATCAACAATTCCTCAGTCCTAAACTAGAGTTCAGGTCTATGGATGATTATCTTTATCAAGCTTGAAATCCGACCCTTTTCAGGCCTAAGCTAAATAATCTGAAATCTAAAACAAGTTAAGAGGTTCTCTAAACTTCAAAGTACCTCAAGTCTCACAGCTTATGTCTAACTAGTACAAAGATCTCCAACACTACTAGATCAAATGCAAGGGCAGCAACAATTAAGTGTTGACTCTCAAGTAGCTGGTATTGCTATATGGATCAATTGCTTTCGTTGTTATTTATTCTTACTGAAGTTTGCATTTGTTTCTAGAGATCGCAAGTCTTCTGTGATATTTAGTCTTCCATGATATTTGAGGTTTACCTTTTTCGTTGCTACTGTTCAATCATCATAGTCCTGTGCTTATAGATCAAGATCATTTGAAAGTCAGATAAGCCCTTTTTTGATGTTATCTTATATGTGTAATATTTATATTCTCTGTCGAATGTGATCATGTCGAATATTGTCAAATCACATATGAGTGCACATCCGTAATCCTTTGCATATACACGACTCTTATTTTGTGGATATGTTTGGTCCCAACATTCACCCTCATGGTCAAGTGCATTGATTTCAAGATGTGTAGGTCTCTCTTTCTTTTATAATTTTCAATTTGCTTGACAATATATGCCGGTTATTGATCAGCTTGTTGGTGACCCCCCCCAGATTGTAGCTTTGATGTGCTCTAACCTCCTTCAACAATTGCTGCCACATATTGGTGGTCTTTTCCTCCTTTGTTTTGATGATTTAGCTTGTCCCATGACACAATTATTATTTTCCAGATTTATGATATATTCCAGCTTTTGCCACCAAAAATCCAAGTGGGTGTTTTCTCTGCCACTATGCCACCAGAGGCTCTTGAGATTACTAGAAAATTCATGAACAAACCTGTGAGAATTCTCGTGAAGCGTGATGAGCTCACTCTTGAAGGTATTAAGCAATTTTATGTCAATGTCGATAAGGAAGAGTGGAAGCTTGAAACACTTTGTGATCTTTACGAGACCTTGGCCATCACCCAGAGTGTCATCTTTGTTAACACTAGGCGAAAGGTTGACTGGCTCACTGATAAAATGCGTGGTCGTGATCACACAGTATCTGCAACTCACGGAGACATGGATCAGAACACAAGAGATATCATTATGAGGGAGTTCCGATCTGGCTCATCTCGTGTGCTTATCACAACCGATCTCCTTGCTCGTGGTATTGATGTCCAACAAGTCTCTCTTGTTATTAACTATGACCTGCCAACTCAACCAGAAAACTACCTGCATCGTATTGGTCGTAGTGGACGATTTGGAAGGAAGGGTGTTGCTATCAACTTTGTCACCAAGGATGACGAAAGGATGCTTTTTGACATACAGAAGTTTTACAACGTCGTAGTTGAGGAGCTCCCAGCCAATGTTGCTGATCTCCTTTAAGGCGATTTTGGTATATTTTTTCTTAGATTTAGTTTCAGTTTGTACTAGACTTGGAATTAGGAAATGCTGGTACCATGGTTTTGCCACAGCACCAGTTACTTTCCTGATTCAAATGAAACTTCTAGAGTCAACTTTTGCAAATTTTGTTTGGTTTGTCATTTTATATCTTAAAGCATCCAAATAACTTTGGATTTGGTATTGTTTGAATTGTTTAATTTATCTATTTCCCTATGGAAGGTAAAGCTTTTAGTTGGATATCTGTTTTTCCCATTTTGATGCTATATTTCATATTTGAACTCCAGACTTTGTGGTTACATTCTTTAACATAGAAGGTAAATCATCTAACAACTATTGTTTCTTACCCAATCAATAAAGATTCAGATTGAGTAGGTCCTCTAATATTTGCCTAACCAACAAGGATTCTTGTTGGATAGATCCTCTAATTGAAATCAATCAATTAAGATTCATGTTGGGTAGGTCATCTAATTGAGAAGCTAAAATTTGTCCAATCAATCAGGATTCATGCCAAGTCGGTCCGCTAACGCCTTATCTTCCTATTAATAAAACACATCCTACTTCGACGTTTCTAATTTGCCATAGAGGAACTGCTTCCTGCGTCTGCGGCCGTTGCAGCTAAACTAACGGCGGAAGGAGGATTCATGTCAGATAAACCCTCTTATAAAGAAGGTAACATATCTACGAGCACAAAATTGAAAAATCTCATCCATTTTACTGTTGCACTTAACAGTATTTTATTGTGGTTTGTATGATGGCATGACCATCTATATGACCTTCTCAATTGTTCATATTGAGCTATTATATGTCAGAATATGTCAATTAATATAAGTTTCAAATTTCAATTAGTTGGGGGCGATAATATAAATCCACTCTATTCATACTTATTCCAATACTATTATTGTACTTGGGAGTGATATATGTAGAGGTAGACGTACAATGTATGAGTTCGATATAACTCAATCATATATGTATTGAAATTTCACCTAAATAAGTACATATAATAAACTATGAACTAGGTATCATTAATTAATTGTGGTTTATGTGACAAGTGAGGGGTTACTAAAACTCACAAACTTAAATCGTACAATAGTTCTCAATGTTCATTTTCTTTAGTAGTTTTGAATAAATAAAATCATATCATTTTGTGAGAGATTAGAGATCACTAATACAAAAAATATCCAATATAAATCTAACAGTTTAGATATATCGCTCATGATAAAGTAGGTCTCATATTCAATTAAATTTCTGATTAGAAAATGAGAAAATTTCTACTATCATTGTCAGGCCAGCTAGGCCATGAGCACATGAGAATGGGCTTTCCCCGGTAGGGGTCATCGTAGAATGAAGGGGACGGTGAAAATTATAAATGTCATATTTCAAGATAATGACAAAAATAGTCCATTCTCCTTAATATTAAGTTCAAAATAGTCCCATATGTATCACTTGAGCAGTTTCAGTCCTTTTAAATTGTCAAAAGGGTGAAAGGACAAATATATCCCTGAACTATCGTAAATAATATGCAGATACCCTCTGTCATACTTTTAGGACATTGGTGCCCCTGCCGTCCAAAAACTAGAGCATATATGTCATTCACTCTAATGGAAGACTAAATAGGGACACGTGGCACAATCTTATCCGTCGATCTAATATTTAATAAATGTCGGATCGGTGGATAAGATTATAACACGTGTATGTCCGTTAGTATAAAGGGTATATATGCTCTTGTTTTTGAACGGCAGGGGCACCAATGTCTCAAAAGTATGATAGAGGGTATCTGCATACCATTTACGATAATTTGGGGATATATTTATCCTTTTCCTCTTGTAAAAAAATGAGTATATTTTTCAACCTCCATCAAATATTTACCAAAAACCTAATTATGATTTTTTTTATTAACCATAAATACCAAAAATCCCCGTTAAAGTCTTAGATATTGCAACATAAAAACGAAAAAGTAAAAAAATAACAATAATTACTCCTAAATTACGAAACCATATGAGTTCCCATTTAATATTTTCTACTTTCACAATATTAATTAAATTTAATAATTAAAATTTGACAAATATTTAATAAAGACCAAAAATATTTAATAAATTATGAAACTATTTTAAACTTACCACCAAATTATAATAGGTTAAGGGAATTTTTTTGAAACTTTTTCCTTTTTTTTTTCCAACTCAATTTACATAAGGATTTGGAAACATAAAAAGACAAAACATAACACAATCATAAAAACTCTCTCACACATATTGTCTTCCTGAACTCCGCGGCGTAGATCCGAGGAGTTTTTGGAAAAAAGCTGCAGTCTTTACAAACCCTAATTCTCAAAAATCCCCTTTTTCTCAAATCTTCAGATCTCTCTTTAACAATCTTCTTATTAGCTATAAGGTAACTCTCTTCTTTCTGCTGAACTTTTTTTGGTTTTTTGTGTATTTTGCTGGATTCTTGTATCTGTTTGGTTTAGTTTAAATGGGTGTTTGAGTTTTTGATGATTCATAGGTAAAGTTGTGATCTTTTTGCAGTTGGGTTTTGTGGGGTTGGATGTTCTTGGTTGTTACTAATTTGGGTTGGTTTTGATTTGTGTATGTTTGTTTTAGTTTAGATGGTGTTTGAGTTTTGATGATTTATAAAGTAAAGCTGTGATTTTTATGCTGTTGGGTTTTGTGGGGTTGGATGTTCTTAGTTTTTACTTATTTGGTTTGGTTTTGATTTGTATGGTGCTTGAGTTTGATGTTTTGATTGGCGTAAAGCAGTGATTTTTTCAGACAATTTGGTATTGTGGGGTTTGATGTTCTTGGTCTTCACTAATTTGGGTTGGTTTTGATATGTATATGTTTGTTTTAGTTTAGATGGTGTTTGAGTTTTTGATGATTCATTGGTGTAAAGTTGTGATTTTTTTACGGTTGAGTTTTGTGGGGTTGGATGTTGTTGGTTTTTACTAATTTGGGTTGGGTTTGATTTGTGTATGTTTGTTTTAGTTAAGATGGTGTTTGAGTTTTTGATGATTCATAAAGTAATGATTTTTCAGGCAGTTGGGTATTGTGGGTTTGATGTTCTTGCTCTTAACTAATTTGGGTTGGTTTTTATTTGTATCTGTTTGTGTTTGTTTTAGTTTAGATGGTGTTTGAGGTTTTGATGATTCATTGATGTGAAGTTGTGAATTTTTTCAGACTGTTTGGTATTGTGGGGTTTGACATTCTTGCTCTTTAACTAATTTGGGTTGGTTTTGATTTGTATCTGTTTGTGTTTGAGGTTTTGATGATTCATTGGTATAAAGTAGTTTTTTTTTAAAGATAGTTTGTGGGGTTCGATGGTCTTGCTCTTCGCTAATTTGGGTTGGTTTTGATTTATGTTTGTTTTAGATTAGATGGTGTTTGAGTTTTTGATGTTTCATCGCCGTAAAGTAGTGATTTTTCTACAGTTGGGTTTTGTGGGCTCTTCACTAATTTGGGTTGGTTTTGATTTCTATATGTTTGTTTAGTTTAGATGGTGTTTGAGTTTTGGATGTTTTATTGGTGTAAAGTAAAAAAAAAATTCAAACAGTTTGGTTTTGTGAGGTTCAACGTTCTTGCTCTTCACTAATTTGGGTTGGTTTTGATTTGTATATGTTGTTTAAATATGGTCTTTGAGTTTAAAGTAGTGATTTTCTGCAGTTGGGTTTTGTGTAGTTCAACATTCTTGGTCTTGATTAATTTGGGTTGGTTTTGATTTTTATGTGTTTTCATAATTTCTTCCTTCACCATCAGAAAGATGGTGTTTTGAGTTTTGGATGTTTCATCGGCATAAAGTAGTGATTTTTCAGACAATTTGGTATTGTGGAGTTCGAGCTTTTTTTGCTCTTCTATAATTTGGATTGTATCTGATCTGTATATGTTTGTTTTAGTTTAGATGGTGTTTGAGTTTTTGATGATTCATCGGCGACAAGTAGTGATTTTTTCAGACAGTTGGGTTTTGTGGGGTTCACGTGCTTGCTCTTCACTATTTTCAGTTGGTTTTGATTTGTATGTCTGTTTTAGCATCTCCTCCAACACTTGCTCATTCTCGTTCTTTGTCACATTGACCCTGTGTCAAGTAGCTATAGAAATAGGGTTGAGCTGTATGGCAAGTAGTCAAACAGTTATTTCTATCTGCTTTCTGCTCCTTTTACTTCTTCAGGAAAGAAAAAGAAAAAGGAGAAATGATGTATATTGTTTCTTGTGCATGCCCTCATGAATAAAGGAAGAACAGATAATGTTATTGATATGTGGTGAATAAATTTTATTTGTGAAGTGTTTTGGGCCTTAAACTACCTTTTGTTATTATCTTATATGCCATGGAGTTATGTTTTGACCTTCCCTTGTTGTCTTCTTCATGATGTTTAATGAATGTCCATGTGACTGATAAGATTTGTTATTTTTTATTTGAGAATTCTAGTTTTGATAAGTAGTTATTGGTACTTGGTGAATAAACTTTTTTATATGTCACGGAGTTAAGCTTCAATCTTCACTTTTTATCATCTACAAAATCTTCTGATAAGATCTGTTATTCACTAATTGAAAAAAGTAATCTTAAAAGAAAACTAAAATTTGCTTACACCAGTATACCAGAACTAGTTTGAGATTGAGGCATAATTAATTGATTTATCTGTTTTTTTGTTAAATTCCTGCAGTATGGCAGGCTCAGCACCAGAAGGTTCTCAGTTTGATGCTCGTCAATTCGATGCGAAAATGACGGAGCTGTAAGTTATCTCTTCTCCCTCCTGTACTGAGGTTATTGATCATCACTTTCTGCTGATATTTTGCCTCTAGCCTTTGCCATTGATTTGATTGACTTTTGTGGTTGTTTGATATGCCAAAAACAGACTTGGTACTGAACAACAAGAATTTTTCACATCATATGATGAGGTTTATGACAGTTTTGATGCCATGGGTTTGCAAGAAAACCTTCTGAGAGGCATCTATGCCTATGGTAAATTGACATCTCCTTATAATTCTGGTTTCCTTTCCTCCGTTCTCAGATTTTACAGGCACTGAACAGTGTTTTGAATTTCTTGAAGGTTTTGAGAAGCCATCAGCTATTCAGCAAAGGGGCATCGTTCCCTTTTGCAAGGGCCTTGATGTTATCCAGCAGGCACAATCTGGAACTGGAAAGACAGCAACTTTCTGCTCTGGAGTTCTCCAGCAACTTGATTATAGTTTAGTTGAATGTCAGGCTCTTGTTCTTGCACCAACCCGTGAGCTGGCACAACAGATTGAGAAGGTTATGCGTGCACTCGGTGACTATCTGGGCGTGAAGGTTCATGCGTGTGTTGGGGGTACCAGTGTCCGTGAAGATCAGCGTATCCTTCAGAGTGGTGTTCATGTAGTGGTTGGTACTCCAGGCCGTGTCTTTGACATGTTGCGCAGACAGTCTCTTCGCCCCGACCACATCAAGATGTTTGTTTTGGATGAAGCTGATGAAATGCTCTCCAGAGGTTTCAAGGATCAGGTCTCCCTTTTACTTAAATTTTTGCTGTTTTATTTGTTCAATGCAGGATGTGCCTTTTTATTTGTTTTACTCTGTTATGTTTCTGTGTTCGAAGGTTAACACATTAGAAGTGGATTATTGCCTCACTTTTCATCACTTCTGAAATATAATTAACCTTCCCTTTTTTGATATAGTAAACTGGATTACTTTTTAAATGTGTTTACTTATGAGTTGTTGGCGAACTAATAAAGTGATGGCTGATTTGTTAGTAATATGAGAAACAATCAACTTCTTCTCAGTTATATGGACTCTCTAGAATTAAAGGTCTTAAGTCTCATATCTCATCTTTAACTAGTCCCAAACACTAGATCGGCTGTTAATAAAACAACTAATTTTGACTCTCAGCTAGTTGATAGATATTGCTGTATGAGTCTTCTGCTTTCATTGTGTTTTATTATCATTAAGTCTTCTGGGATAATTTATCTTCCATGAAATTTTAGATCTACTTGTTTCCCTTCTGCCACATTTCAATCATCGTAGTCAGGTGCCTATTGTCCAGGACACTTCAAGGTTTGCGTAAGACATGAGAAAATTATCTCTGGCAACTTGTTTGAAGTGGTCTTTTATTTTGTGCTATTTATATTCTCTGTCAAATGTGAACATGTTTAATCTTGTCAAATCATAAATGAGTGCACATATGAAATCCTCTGCATATCAACGATCCACTCATTTTGAGGATATGTCTGGTCTTAGAGGCCCAAGATTCATTCTTGTGGCCAAGTCTGCATTGATTTCAAATGTGTAGGTCTTACTCTTTCTTTTATAACGTTCAATTGGCTTGAAAATATATGCTGGTTAGTGATCCGCTTGTTGGTGAATACCCCCCAATCGCAGCCTTGATGTTTTCTAACATCCTTTAGCAACTGCTGGTCTTTCCCTTCTTTGTTTTTATGATTTAGCCTGTTCCGTTGACACAATTTCCATTTTCCAGATTTATGATATATTCCAGCTTTTGCCACCAAAAATCCAAGTGGGTGTTTTCTCTGCCACTATGCCGCCAGAGGCTCTTGAGATTACTAGAAAGTTCATGAACAAGCCTGTGAGAATTCTTGTGAAGCGTGATGAGCTCACTCTTGAAGGTATTAAGCAATTCTATGTCAACGTCGATAAGGAAGAGTGGAAGCTCGAAACACTCTGTGATCTTTACGAGACCTTGGCCATCACCCAGAGTGTCATCTTTGTTAACACCAGGCGAAAGGTTGATTGGCTCACTGATAAAATGCGTGGCCGTGATCACACAGTATCTGCAACTCACGGAGACATGGATCAGAACACTAGAGATATCATTATGAGGGAGTTCCGATCTGGCTCATCTCGTGTGCTTATCACAACCGATCTCCTTGCTCGTGGTATTGATGTCCAACAAGTCTCCCTTGTTATTAACTACGACCTGCCTACTCAACCAGAAAACTACCTGCATCGTATTGGTCGTAGTGGACGATTTGGAAGGAAGGGTGTTGCTATCAACTTTGTTACCAAGGATGACGAAAGGATGCTTTTTGACATTCAAAAGTTTTACAACGTTGTAGTTGAGGAGCTCCCAGCCAATGTTGCTGATCTCCTTTGAGGTGATTTTGGCTCTGTGAGGGGAATTGTTCCTTCCCTACTGGAAGTAGTCTAATATATTTATTCAGAGTGAACAACTGCAAATTTTGTCTGGTTTTTGTTATTTTGTTTTTGGAAGTGTCCAAATAACTTTGGATTTGGTTGTTTGAATTTTGTTTATTTGAACTATTTTTCTATGGACGTTAGGCTTTTAGTTCTATTTTCTAATGTTGGTGCTATATTTATTCCCCACTATTTCTTGCCCAATCAATCAAGATTCATGTAGGGTAGGTCCTCCAAGATTTGGCCAACCAATCATGATTCATGCCGAGTAGGCTCTCTAATTGAGAAATACGAGAAGCAAATTGTTGTGTGGATGAATTAATATCTATACTTAAGTCAAGAGGTAGATCTTGTGTCACTCCATCTAGTCGTATGAAACTTGCACATACCTACACTTTTGGAAAGGTTTGAAATCCTTGCTTCATGTAGGGTCCAAAAATTTGAACATACCCATTTTTTTGTTACGACTTGTTAGTTGTTTTTCAACATTTCTTGCTTGAATTGTTGACCATTACCCGACCTCACATGGGAGGTTCCGTGTCGAGTGATTCTCCCTCTAAAAAGTCTACATGATATTCTTTTGATCATGTAGATCCTCTAATATAGAAAGTAAAACTTGCTCAACTAATTAGGATTCATACTAGGTAGATCCTATAATATGAAAGGTAAAAACTTCTTCAAATTGTTGTTTCTTGCCTAATCAATCAATTAGAATTCATGTCGTGTAGGTCCTTCAAGATTTGCCCAACCAACAAGGATTCATGTTGGGTAGGTCCTTTAACTAAGATCAACCAATTAAGATTCATGAATGTAAGGTCCCCTAATCGAGAAGGTAAAACTTGTCTAACCAATCAAGATTCATGTTGGGTAGACCCTCCCTTTTAAAGAAGGTAATACGTTTCTAAATAAAAATGTCCATGCAACAACTTATGTTGTGTTTGGGTAGACCCTTCTCTTGTAAAGAAGGTAAGTCTCTGAATAAAAATGGAGAAATCTCATCTATGCAACAACTCTTAACAATGCCTATACTCAATGTTGTGTTTGAGTTGATGATATGAATTTCTCATAATTGACTCCACTCCATTCAAACTTGCTCCAATGCTATTATAATGTTTTTGAGTGATGCATGTAAATGCAAATATACAATGTATGAATTCAACATAACTCAATTATATATGTGTTAAAAAAATTCACTAAATACATACATATAATAAACTATATAAACTCGATAACATAAATTGGTTGGGGCTTTTGTGGCAGAAATTTTAAATTTTGAATTTGCCTATTAAATACAAAACTATGTGTAAATTAGGAAATAATTAAGACTTGATTGAGATCTACAATGAAATTATCTAGAGAGTAATTTTCTTTAGTACTTGCGAATTATTATTGTCAGATTGATAATAAAGTATCTTATTATAATAAGATAATTATATATAATTGTACTATATCATCAACAAATCTAATGTATCCCATAATTAGAGTTTGGAAATGTTAGAGTGTATGTTAATCTTACGTTTATCTTAAGAAGATAAAGATTTTTGAGATAGACTCTCGATTTAAAGAATGCAATACCAACAAGTAGGGGTGTTCACGGTTTGGTTTGGGTCGGTTATTGGTCAAAACCAAAACCAAACCAAACCAAATATAATATACGTTTATCGGTTTGGTTGTTTTCGGTTTTGGTTTGGTTTGGTTTGGTTATTCGGTTATTAACCATACATAAAAATAAAATAAACAATTCATTCAAAACGTGAAAAAAGTGACAACAATCCATTCAAACAAAAATATAGTTAGAATGACTGGCATTACAGAACTTTCGATCATTGAATTTACTGAACAAAACTTCAAAATTCACTATTTTGGCATAGAAGGAAGAGACAATGACATTTTTAGTTCCTCAAAGAATTTTCATAGACACTTATATACATGAAACCAATAAGAAAAATGTTCTCACCTTGATATTTTTTCTTTCATAAGTAAATTATAAAAATAAATTTTGATGAAACATATATAAAATCTTTAAAATTGTTTATGAATATAATATATTATGTATGCATAATAATAAAATTTATGTATATAACTTGTTGGTTCGGTTCGGTTATTTCTTCGATTTTTTTCGAACAAAACCATAACCAAACCAAATACTATCGGTTCTTAACAATCTAAAACCAAACCAAACCAAAACCCAAATTAAATCGGTTCATTTAATCGGTTTGGTTTGGTTTTTCGGTTTGGATCAGTTTTTATCCAAACCATGAACACCCCTACTGATATGTTGTTGTTGTTGTTATTATTTGATTGATTTAAATTTCTAACTCTTCAAGTTGAAATAACAACAAGACAATACGAATAACCGAGGCTAAAGAAACAATAATAAAAGTCTAAGAATACAAAAAAAAAATAACAAGAATAAAATCAATACTTGGGAAACATAATACAAATTTACATAAATATAATTATTAAGTCACATCAAAGAAGAATTATTAAGAATATATCAAACTCTTTTTTTTTTGTTTGCTTTTTGGTACATTAAAATTATATCAAACTCTCTATATTTCACCCAAAAAAATCTACATAACACCATTTTCTCCCTCCATTTGCCTTATATCTACTACATAATAGTATAATATTATGAATAAATTGCAAAAATCAAGCAAATAATTGATAAATAAAAATAAAAACAACTAAAAAAGAGTTAAGAATCAAAAACAACATTTAACTATCTCAATTTTTTGAATTTTCTATCAAATTATCACGTGGTTACTTTTTCTACCTGAATTATTACCAATTATTTATCAAAACATACATCAACTATAACTATTCACATTTTCTACCTGAATTATTACGGTGTTAAGATAGAAAAAAGTGAATGCATTATGATTAACGTGTGATTCGATAAATATTTGATGATACTTCAGATAAAAAAAAACTTCCACACCCAATAAATAATTCACCGAGATAATTTAGGTGCGTTTTTCACCCTTCACTCACCCAAAAAAATGAATTAGAAGGTCCATTTTAAGATCTTCATGCGTAAATCAGCCTTACATTTAGCATTTGTAGTTGAAGCCACCGCCGGAGTTTTCCCCGTCGGAATTCTTCCATGGATTCCGTCACAAGTAACTCTGATCCCGACTTCCTTACTTTTCAGTTTATCCATTTTCGCTAACACCATTGTATCCAACAAGATCTTCATCGGTAATCCATTTTTTCTCTTCAGATCTGATTTCAACGATGAAATTGAATCCGCATCGAGCACTTGAGACGCCATTGATAGAGTTGAGTGAATGATCGTGATGTTATTTGGACCGCTGCTGAAACCTGTGAACGATCCATTAGCTAGTAGAACTGAATTCGAGTTCACAGTTAAGGAAATAGGATCGTAGTTGTAAATCAGCTTTTTGTTAGGGTTTTTAGTGGAGAGTGTGAGATTGAGCTTAACAGTGAGGTGTGTAGTGTCGTCGGAGGTAGTAGTGAGTTTGAATTGGATGATTTTGAGTGAGGAGACGGAGAATGCCGGAGGTTTTGGGCGGAATAGGAAGTAGAAACCGGCGCCGGCGATTGCGGCGAGGAGTAGGACGGTGCAGATGAGGAGGAGTGACCAGAAACAACAGAAGCAGAAGCACCGGCGACAGGTGCAACGGCGGCGGTTGTGTCGGTGGTAGGCAGTTGGAGTTGGTCGGTAAGGGATGCGATTCGGGTTATACATTTGGTTCTTCGCCGCCGGAGGAGGAAATTGCGGCGGTTTTGCGGCGGCTTTGGGATTGACGGCAGCGGCAGCGGCAATATTGGTGGCATTGCCATTTGGCTTAGCTGAAGGGTGAACTCTGTCAGCCATTTTTGGAGAGAAAAAATGAGCTTAGATTTGGCAGAAGAAAAATAGAATTTATATTTCTGTCGTTTCACTAAGGTGTTTGACTAATGTCGGTGGATTCGGCGAATTCATTATACTAAGGGTGTACAAACGAACCGAAAATCGAATCCTCAGGTTTTTATTTTTTAATATATTATTTCAAGTTTGGAACTTATAATTCTGAATGGTTCAATAAATATTATAGTCAACATGATAATTATAATAAAGCTTAAATCAAAATCAAATTAATACTAATACAAAAAGAAAATCAAATCAACACTAAGAATGACAATAATATTGAATATTTGTTCTTTAGGTTTACATTGGTTTAGACAATTAAAATACATAATCTAATTTTAATTTCCTTTAATATTTAGTCATGTAACTAATACTTTATTAAACTTATTTTTAACATGATTTAGTACTTTTAAATTATGATCATTTTCATTATGACTTGTTAATTTGCAATATTTGTTTTTACGCGATTTCATTTATTTTTTTGTTGGATATTTTAGTGTCATTAATCATATCATATTTTGTGTTATTTTTTAAGAAACACCTTAGATAGTTGTATTTTGGTAGGACTAAAGAAATATTTGAAGTACAAGTAAATTATATGTTTGTATGAATACTTTACCGGAAAAACCCGAAACAACCCGAAAATCCAAAAAACTTGAAAAAAATCCGAAAAAACCCGAGGTTGAAAAACTTGAGTTTTATTGGTTTGGTTTGGTTTATAAATTTAAAAATCCGACACAAATGATTTGGTTTGATATTTGAAAAACCCGAACCAACCCGATCATGTACACCCCTACATTATACTTTTCGAATTTTTCAAAAATGCTATCGAAAATACGTGTCATATAGATGTCAGAGTATTTTGTAAAGTTTGAACAACATAGGAACTAATCGATCTCAATAGAAGATTTAGTAGATAGTTAAGTGTTATCTTATTTTTTTACGATTTAGACTTAGTGGTAGTTTAACGTTCGATACATGTTTCGCCTTTGTACCAATAGTATTAGAAGTTTTGTGAGCTGTGATTTATGTTACTTTCCATTGTGTTTTGATAAATGTATTATTTTGTTATATAATGTGTTCTCTAGTACTTGTTAACTGTACTTATATATGTTACTTGATATGTGTTGTATTCTATCTTTTATGATTGACTTATATCGATGAACTTCTAAAATTCGTTCATGCTATTCGAATTTTAAAAAAATACATGTTATATAAGTTCTGAAATATTTAGAGAGTTGAGTAACATACGAATTAGTTCATCTCAATAAAAGATTTAGTAGATAATTAATTGTTGTCTTACTTTCCTACAATTAGGGTTCAGGGTAGTTTGACGTTTTGTACCTATTTTTTCTTAGTATCAATATTATTATTAGTTTTGTGAGTTGTGATTTATATTATATTGCATCTGTTTATGTTTTAAATACTACATTACTTTGTTATGTAATGCCTTTTCTAGTACTTGTTATATGTACTTGGGTATGTTACTTGATATGTGTTACGTTCTATCGAAATGAAATGTGAGTAAAATTTATGTACTTTCTATCTTTATCGATCTCATTATGTAAAATTATACTAAATATGTTGTTTGTAGGCAAAAATATCCGTGTATATTGATAAGTTATAGCAAATATCTTATAAAACTAGTTGTTGTGCACATAAATTGATGCCAACACCATGATTGAAGAATTTTTGTCGTTCTGTCTTTCGCACGGAAGTCTGTCTGTCTTCATTCCAATCATCGTAGTTCGATCGATCAACTACTCCCATCCAATCTAACAAAGAAAAAAGTGTTTGTCTAACACCTTAGGATTTGATGAAATAAATATAATCTTTTCGCTTTCAATTATAAATTTTTAGTTTTAATATCCTAAAATAAAATAAAAATAGAGAAGATTTTTTTCGTACATACTTCAATATTTATGTAACACATTAATCAAGTCAAATATCAAATATGATAGTTAAAACCAATTATCAATCGAGCCATTAATTACCAAACAACAAATGATTAAATAAATTATAAATAATAAAATAAAATAACTCTTAAATATAGAAAAATGCCAACTTTTTTTAAACAAATTGATAAGGAAAGAATAAATAAAACAAATAAAGTAGAGTAACTTGGTTAATACAAAAGGAGTATGAAAATTTGTGAAGTATAGGGAAAGCAAGCGTCAAAGTCTCTCTTCTTAGTTTTTCCTTCATTTGGTTCCAAGTACTTATAAATTTTAGAATTTAAATTTTATAAATTTATTTTAAAGATTTTTTATGTTGAATTAAGATGTTTTTAAAGTTATAAACTCATATTTGGTGGTTATTGTATTCGTCATGAATTTTTATGCAAAAATATATATGTGTGTAAAAATACTAGATTCGGATGAATCTGGTACTAGTACTTTATGTTCGCCTCTATTTGAGAGGGCGGAGGGGTGAGAGTGAGGATAATTTATGACTTTTATATTAAAATATAATTAAATAATAAGTTAAAATTTAGTAATAGAAAAGTATGTAGTACAATAATAATTATGTGCATATATTTATTAGGTTGAATTGAATATTAATAAAATTTAGTAATAGAAAAGTATGTAGTACAATAATAACCGATCTCCTTGCTCGTGGTATTGATGTCCAGCAAGTCCCCTTGTTATTAATTTTGTCCACCGAAACTTGAATAGATGGGAAAAAATCACCTACTAATATCTTGCCTCCGCCAAATTTTGAACTTTGAATCGGAGACTTAGTGATTCTCTCATTGATCACTGAGCCATACTCGTGACTCTTCCTAGTGACTGTGTTCTTGTATACATAAGCTTTCTTAAGTTAGAGAAAAGAGATCATGTTTGAACTTTGAAGTGAAGAAAGAAACAAGAACTTGAAAATGAAACAAACTTTCAATTGATTGAAAATAGCAAGAAATTTCTCCGACTCCTCAAAAATACTACAGATTGTGTGTCGAATCTTCCAAAAATAGCTATTATTCTTGGAGGATAAGATATGAGTGCAATATCATTTTTGAAGGATTCTAACCTATATCTTTGGTTGGTGCAACATTACTCGACCATTTTGATCCGTCCAAATTCAACCTAACTTGCTAATTTGACACCCCTAACATCATAGTTTCACATATGTCTCCAAGTCCTAACGTAGAACTCTAGTTGGTCTGCGGGATGAGATAAGCAAGAATATTCATGAGATTATTTTATCTCACCTTCTATATGGGATAGTAATACCACTATTTCAATACAAATAGTGTGATACAAAAAAATCTCCGAATTTCCTAATAACTCAAATTAAATATGAAATATAATTAATTTATTTCAAAATTATTCTTTATCTCACATACCAAACAACGGTCCAAGAAAAAGTTGTGGGTAGGGTTGAATGCTGCAAAGTTGAGTTTTGATCACGCGAATGTGTTAAACTTTGTCACATGATCCTCGAATATACAGCTTTGCTATGTTTGTTGTTTTTTCTTCTTTTTTTTCTCGATATTCTATATTTGTTTCATATCTTAATATAATTTAAATTCAGACCGCATATATAAAAGCTCAATTAATTTTAAAAAATGTTCTTTACCAACAAATTATATCTAATCCATATAGTATGAACTCGAAGTTTCTGATTAAAAATTTAAAAATCGAATTAATTTTTCAAATCAAAAAATCACTGAACTTTGTTTTATGACATAAAAATCACTCAATTAATGTTAATTATCTCATAAAGTCGGTTAATCATTATTATTTCACCTACAAAATTACGCCTACTTCATGCACGGAACTGCCTACGATACTCTAATAAATAAAGCCAAACAACCCATGCCCACATGTATTTTCCCTCTCACAAAAAGAAAGCCTATAACTTCTCTTCCTATCTCCCAAAAACCAAAAGAAGGATAAAACAATTTGCCATTTTTTTCTCCATTTTCAATCAAATCAAATTTGTGATTTTTTTTCTCTTCAAGAACACTCGCCTCGTCGATTCTTCCCCTCGTTCCTTAAATGGATGGTGATGGCCAATTATTAGTTCCACAAGGGCTAACACAAGAAGAATTTGCAGAATTGGAACCATTGATTCGAAATTACCATACCTTTGAGGATTTACCAAACACTTGTACTTCTCTTGTGACGCAGCGCATAGACGCGCCCGTCGATGTCGTGTGGCCATTTGTCCGTCGTTTTGATAATCCCGAGAAGTATAAGCACTTCATCAAAAGTTGCAGGATCGTGTCAGGTGTGTAATTACTTCATCTAAAAGTTTAAATTGATCTTATGATAAACATATATTATTATAATAAATAATAATTTAATTACATTATAATTCAATTTACCTTTCACGTATGGACAAGCGAGACTTCTTCTAGTGGTTAAGGTCAAGCCGGAGTAAATAGAAACACTATTGATCTTCTCAATGAAAAAAATAATCTCGAACCTTATTCATTTTTCTTGTTCAAATTAAACGTATAAAATTTGTCCAAAAATGTCGTAGTGATAATATACTTTGAATTATCTTTTATTAATAATGTCAAAAGTTCGTTTTTTATTTGTTTAATTCGATCAAAAATAAAAGTCTCATTTCTCTTTCTGTTTTATTTTATTTTATACATGTACTACTTTGCTAGACTTAAAAAATAATAATCTAAGTATTTCACAATATAATGCATTTTTATGCTATGATTTCAATAATTTTGACGACCCTATCTTAATCACCACAATTCCCCTCATCGACAAAAGTTGCATTTTTATACAATAATCGAAATACTGTAGCAAGTAATCGATCCTTCTTACAAAAAATTAAATTCAAAATAAGTGATGGAGTCACATGTACTTGACTTACATTATGTAGCTGGGTAAAAATATTCTTTTTATGTATGTATATACATATTTACATATTGACATCACTCCTCTTGATTTCTTTGTGAATTTATTTATGTTGGTGTATATGCATTTTATTATTGAAATAAAATATTACACCAATAATTTCTTTATATTTTAATCTTTCTTAGTAAAATTTTTGACTTCGTCACTCGATATAGGTGATGGCGGAGTTGGCAGCATAAGAGAAGTCACAGTTGTGTCAGGAATACCTGCATCTACAAGTACAGAACGTCTAGAAATATTAGATGATGAAAAACATATTTTAAGTTTTCGAGTTGTTGGAGGTGAACATAGATTGACAAATTATAAATCAGTTACATCAGTAAATGAATTCAGCAAAAATGGAAAAAATTATACTATAGTTTTGGAATCATATATTGTTGATATTCCAGAAGGGAATACTGGTGAAGATACAAAAATGTTTACTGATACTGTTGTGAAATTGAATCTACAAAAACTTGCTTTAGTGGCAATGTCTGCTATGCATGGGCACGAATAATTAATAGCAATAAATAGAGGATTCAAGATTTGAATTTGCTTGTTTTGTTATTTTTTTTTATTAATAAGTATGGTGTTTGGGGCGAAATTTTCTTCCATTCATCAGGATAGGTATCAAATAAGATTTGACAATTTTTATGTATTATGTACATACAATTGTATGCAGTTATGTAATTGTGAATTTGGCTTTTTAAATGTTTGTTGTACTTTTAGTGATTCTTGAAATATAAATATTTATATTTCGTGTGAGAAATATATGTACGTTTGTATTCAACTCAAAATTCTTAATGGTATTGGCAACATCTCTTATATTTTATGTTTTACGAATATAATCGGTGTATAATTATACTTTACTTTCTCAAAATTTTACTTACGGAATAATACTGAATATTTTGTTGTCGTTATTTTCTATAATAAAGAAAAAAAGAGCCTAACTTTATATGAATGAAAAGCTGGCAAAATGCCTTATCAATGTTTGTGTATACTCCAACCTTAAAGGGGGGAAATTATTGTTGAACTACTCTATTACTTTTTGAATAAATGTGAGGGGGGGAAAAGAGGAGAGAAATAGATTAAAAAAGTATACACACAAAAAAAGATAAACATTTGTGTTGTTACCATTGAGAGACTTGTGACTTACACCTTACAACATGTGATATTAAATTTGCTTTATTAGTCACTTATTTTCTTCTAGTTTATATCATGTTTGAAATTTGACTAGAAGAAAATAATTTGAAAAAAATATTATATATATATATGAGATTAGAAGAAAGCAATTTGAAAATATATACATACATATGTACATTCTTTTTAGAATTATCGAATGTTCGTGTTTTTTACTAGGTCCACTTCTTCCTTTGATAAGGTTGTATAAAAGCTCAAGTAGAAATATGATCGATAATATGAAAAAGGTTTGAAACTAATATAAGAATCATCTTACTATAGAAGAGACATGCATCATCATATGCTACTCTAATATAAGTGTAGTATTTTAGCTTTTAATATGCTTGAAAGTCTTTGATCAACGAGTAATTTTATAAAAAGCTTACTTATAAGACTACTTGATGCAACAAATTGTAAGAACATCACTAAAGATCAAGCCCAAGCTATTTTGGACTTTACTTTGAATTTAGAAAGAAAAAGTTACGGTCTAATATTATTATTTTTTTATGACAAGGGAAACCCGCAGCCGCTACCCTTTGGGTGCGCACAGGGTAAAACCCTCGCTCCTATGCAATAGCTTGCAAACCACATAGAGAGGTAACCTGCACTAGGCAAGCCTGGTGCGACGAGCTCGACCCAGAAGGCAAACCCCTTGCTCTGGCAAGGGGTTTCGAACTTGAGACCTCCAACATGGAAGTCCCAAGCTCAAACCACTAGGCTGGGCCATCTAATTTACAAAATATGAATACAATATATATTTTATATTAAATATGTACATCCTATACTTATAAGATATATATCTATACACGCATATATAATTGAAAGGTATAAATAGTATATACTATGATCATGTTAATAAACTAAATGGTTTGAGTATACATTTACATAAGTTTTCCTTCAGAAAATGAATAATTGACTTGTTGAGATTTGGGTTGTGAAGAGGTTGAAAATAAGTTTCCTTTGAGAAAATGAGAACTTTTCTTGTGATTGTCTCTTCAGAAAAAAATTTAGTGACTAAAGATAAATTGTTGAAAATGAAAATTTCATGTGTTGATATTAGTTATTTGTGTGATGATAGTTTATTGAAAACTGCTCATCATTTATTCATAAAATGTATTTGGTCTACTTTATTGTTAAATGACTTTAAAACATTGTTTTGGGTGAAGTTGCAACAAAATGACATTGGAAGGACTTTGCATCAACTTAACAAAAAGCATTGAAGATTATGAGAAAACATATTGTGATTGCTAATTTAGGAGATTTGATTTTTCATATTTGAACGTCCAAAAATTGAAAATTGTATAGAGATCACACTGTTAATAAACATATCACGACAAATTTAATTACTATATTTGAAAAGAACAAAAACAGGAAGTAATTTTTATCATTATAAATTTTTTAAAGTTCTGGACACAAGTAAGATAGTGTATAATACACATACAAGAAATATAATCTTACTACTTTTGAAGAATACTCGGTATCATCGAGATATCTTGTTTTAATCGAAAGACAGTTTGTATGATTGTATGGATCTTGTCAAAATCCATATGATTGCTATCACTGGTCTAAAAGGTAATTATCAACTAAAGATAGATTGCTGAAAATGAGAATCTTATATGTTGCTAGTGTAACGGTAATTCATTGAAAACTGTTCATCATTCAGTTATAGATAATGAATATGATCTATTGCATAACAAAATCATTTTAAAGCATAACTTGAGAAGAATTTACAACAAAACAGTATTTGATAAGACTCTGCATCAACTTAACAGGAAGCACTGAAAAATTATAATGAAACACATCACGACTTCTTATTTGAAAGCTTTGATTTATCATATCTGAATTGGTAAAAACTAATATCTGTATATGAATTATGTTATAGATAAACAAACAATATTTCAACAGATTCAATTAGAAATTACGAACATAAATAGTATGTTTAGTAATTCAAAAAAGATCAAGACACATAAACTTGATTTCAAGATTGTATAACTACAATCGATCAACACTATAAATTATATGAACCTAAAATTTGTTCCGAACATAGATAGCTTACCAATGCTTTAGGACACGATCTTAGATAGATCGGGGAGAGACTTGAGGCCCAATTTCTATCAATAAAAAAATATCTAATCTAGTCATGGGTCAAATTCATATAAAACTCATTGTTGACCCGAAATTGTTCATTCTCTTTACTACTACTTCTCTCACTAGGGTTTCGAAAACCCTACCGCCGCTGCACTCCTTTTTCTCCCAAATCTGAGCAAATCGAAAGCAACAATGGCGGAAGAAGCACAGTACGGAGCACCAGAAGCCGGTAACAACAAGAGGAAGTACGATGATCAAACGACACCGTCTCCTGGTCCACGTAGACCTACTGGATTTTCTGCTCCGATCGCTTCCTTATCTCCTTCTGATGGTGCTGCTCCTCCTTCTTCTTACAACAATGTTCCGCCGCCCATGGATGATTTCCAGTTGGCTAAGCAGAAGGCTCAGGAGATCGCTGCTAGGTTGTTGAATAGTGCTGAAGCTAAGAAACCTAGAGTTGATAATAACGGCGGTGGTGCTGGTGCTGGTGGATATGATTCCTATGAACGTAAGGGTTATGAGCTTTTTCTAGCCTTTTGCTGTTATGGATTTTGTGTTTTGTGTAGTTTGTCTGTTTTCTTTGGATGCTTTGACACGAAATTGAGTTTTATTTAAAGAATTGTAATTTTTTCTGTAATTCTTTACTGTTAGAGATACTGCACTATTAAAACGAAGTTCATTTTTTACAGATATCGTTAAACCCAATATCAAAATAGTGTTTATATTGGCTACGATTGATTTAATTAGTTTGTACGGTAGTCAGGTTTACACGATTTATGAATTTTCTGTCCTTTTCTGTAATTGATTTTGTGTGCTCTCTTATGATGGTTTTTGAGATGAAGGTGAGATGTTTTTTAAATTAAAAAGATGTATTTTCTCACTGAAATTCTTTTCCTTTTGGATACCGCTCTATTGACACCAAAAAGAAGAATTTGAGTTCGTTATTTACAGGTATCCTTATATCTTATACAGCCCGTTGTAGTTTACTTCCTTTTGTTGTTGTTGATTTGTGTTTATGCCTTTTTGCTGTGGGAGAACAATTTTCAGGAAATGAAGTTTTTTTTTTTTATAATTACCGAAGTGTTATTTTATTGCTCATTGTTATTGTAATTTTCACCTACTTCTATACCCGACCAAAAATAATCTGTTTACAAAATATTTTTGATGAAATACAATTATCCATACCAAATTTGTGTTTGTAAATTGGCTACCACTGATGTGATTAGTTGGCAAGGTAGTAGGGTTTTAGATTTCACTATGATAGCAATTCTGGTTTATTATAAGATCTTGTTGAGATGTTAAATATCTGTGGCTTTTCTTGACTGCAGACAAGCCCATTGTTACTCCTTCAGTTACAAGTTCATATGGTTATCCGGGGCAAAGCAAGAAGATTGAAATACCAAATGGCAGAGTTGGTGTGATTATAGGAAAAGGTGGGGAGACCATCAAGTATCTTCAACTCCAATCTGGAGCCAAAATTCAGGTTACTAGAGACATGGATGCTGATCCTAATTCTACAAATAGAGCAGTTGAACTCATGGGTACTCCAGACCAAATAGCTAAGGCTGAACAGTTGATTACTGAGGTTCTTTCTGAGGTACTAATCTTTGCCTTACAATACCTAAAAGAGTGTCAAACTCCAGTAATTCTTTTGTTGAATTATATCCATCTTCTCATGCTTTTGACCATTAATTGATCTGTTTTCAGTTTGTTAATAATGCATTATGTATCTGAAACAGGCTGATTCAGGTGGTTCTGGTCTAGTTTCCCGAAGATTACCTGGACAGCAATCTGGAGGAGAACAGTTTTCCTTGAAAGTCCCCAACAACAAGGTGAGATTTAGTGTTGTAGTTTAGTTGTCTCGTGGTTAGCTTTCTACTGTTTGTCTCATGTGTATTGGTACGTGTTTTGTTAGGTTGGTCTTGTTATTGGAAAAGGAGGTGAGACTATAAAAAGTATGCAGGCAAGAACTGGAGCACGTATTCAGGTAACTGCAAAATGCTTTTCCCAAATAATTTGCAGTTTTTGGTTGGCAATGGCACTTATCTTTTATGAAGAATTACAGTCCTTTGCAGTGTGTGAAGCAATTGTTTAGGAGATTTTTTTCCAGCTTTCTTTCTTATCTTTACCTACTTTGTCACAGGTGATCCCTTTGCACTTGCCTCCAGGTGATACATCACAGGAAAGAACAGTTCAAATTGATGGGTCAAGTGAACAGATTGAGGCTGCTAAGCAGCTGGTGTATGAAGTAATTAGTGAGGTATGCGTAATTGGATATCACTTTCTATTCTTTCCTTTTTATTGCAAGAATATAATAGGCAGCAAAGGTAGATGAACTCTTGCCTCATGATGATGCATTTAATCTCCTTCAAATTTTAAACAGTCTATATTT